GTGGTAATGACGGACCCCGAGGCATTGTGGTTTGTCTAGGCTCTAGCGTAACCAAGGCAACCAACAAATTAGCATTGTCCCCACCATCTTTGGATATGTAAATTACTAGTATAAACATTATTATGCTAATTTATAAATCAGGAAAGGTCATATTATGTGAGTTAGAATGAAGCGAACATTTTCCGAATAGTTTCACATCTTCAAATTGATCCTCCATTTCCGAATAGTTTCACATTTTCAAAATTGATCCTCCATTTCCGAATAGTTTCACATCTTCAAATTGATCCTCCATTTCCGAATAGTTTCACATCTTCAAATTGATCCTCCATTTCCGAATAGTTTCACATCTTCAAATTGATCCTCCATTTTCCGAATAGTTTCACATCTTCAAATTGATCCTCCATTTCCGAATAGTTTCACATCTTCAAATTGATTCTCCAGTGTACAATAGAGAACACTTACCTAACGACAACCATAATGCAGAGTTAGAGTTTACTTTTACGTAGTAGAACAGGTTTATAAAAAAAGAGTTTGTTATCATTGTGGACACTAATATGACTTCTCTTCTTTCTTGTCGTCTCCCCTGTGGATCAGCCAACATCCGGGGTTCGATTCCTGAGATGGACAAAGTGGAAGTAGCCTATTCTGTGGCTTTGCTCTAAAATAAATCCAGTCTGTGTTTCTTTGCAAGTTGTTTTATGGTGGGTACAGGTTATATACCGTATAGATTCTGATGGCGGACATTTTGATAGTTATAACCATGAGTATAAAGTTATAACCTGATAGTTATAACCATAAGTATAAAGTTATAACATGATAGTTATAACCATGAGTATAAAGTTATAACATGATAGTTATAACAATGAGTATAAAGTTATAACCTGATAGTTATAACCATGAGCATAAAGTTATAACCTGATAGTTATAACCATTAGTATAAAGTTATAACCTGATAGTTATAACCATTAGTATAAAGTTATAACCTGATAGTTATAACTATGAAGTTGCGACTTGTAAAAAATAAACGCGAAATATTTCAAGAGTCGAGCTTGACCACTGGTCAATAAATAATTATAAAGCCTACTTCATCCCTGTCGCATTAATTCTCTCAGATGAAACGCCAGACTGGCTTACGGCAACGCTTATCAACACACGGACCGTGATTCAAAGTTTGGCCGGCTATCGGTAAGTTTGCTGGTCACGTTCATCCTGGAAAACCCTGCTCAAGAACGTGCAGGCCAACTTCCCCAAACCTAATAAAATACTTCCGAGCACAGATAATTACACAGTTTGAACATCTGTTTAGTAGGAATTTCAGTTCTTGTAGGTTTACGCGTTGACTATTTACTAGGAATAGTTTTTTTTTTCACTCGTAACAAAATAGATGCTTAAAAAACATTTATTAATACTATAACAAACGGTGGATCTTTATTCTAAAATTTTCATTAAAACTGGCACTGTTTCTGAGAGACTTACAGTTTAAAAATGAGTTTCCAAAAACTAATGTCAGTTGTTATTCTATCAGTTTAATGAAAACATTTTGTGAACTTCAAAATCTGTCTGTAAAACTTTAACCACTGAACTCCCTATAGAAAAAAAAACTGGTTAAAGAAACTGGCTCAACACTAAGGCCCTAGGATGTACGTGAAAAGTTCCTAGGTCGGTGTTCCCCCCGACAACATTCCATCCACTAAGAGGAACCGTTCCACGCGGCTGCGCCAACCTACCCTGAGACAAAGCAACCGACCGTCATGGCGCAGGCGTGGGATAATGACTGTATCCTACCAGGGATCGTACTGTCATTAACAAAGAAAAAATATTCGAGAACTCCCAAGGGCATCAGGATTGCGTAAAATTCGCAGTAAAAAAGAGAAGCTTGGAAGAAAATATATTTTAGCGACATTCGGTACAGATTACGGTGCCAAGTTGGAAATCATTATTGCACGTGTTTTTATTTTTAACACACTCAAACAGTTCTTAACGTAATGAAAACACAGAAGTGAAAACGTAGACCACTGTTTTGAGATACGTTAACATCTCGACAGACCTTAAAAAATTAAACACTAAAACAGAATCTAAGTTAATGTAACAGAACAACCCAAAATAAAACTTTATTGAACAGTTTTTTTTTATCAAACTTACAATATTCGCCAGCAGTTTTTTTTTTAAAGTCCAACTACAAGACACAATAGTCCGTATTGAAATGAACATAGCCTAGCTTCTGAGAAATACTGTCGAGTCGATAATCGGACACGAGAACATTCCCAGCACGCTATAAGTTCGTGTGAAATTCTGATAATGTAATGGCAAACTTGAATAAATGTGTTCTGTTAATCTTGTATTTCTCTCTCTAGTTTTCTATGTGAACGGTATATTATAACAACATCTAATGGGGAAAGTGTTCTTATCTAATTAATCTGCAGGACTCGCTCTAGCTGATAATATTTTGTTTAAAACAGCTGTGTCTGTATTTAGTTCGTTAACCCTAGTAACAGAAAGCACGGCGTGGTTAACACGTTAATCTTCACACAGAGAACCAGCAATATTAACAAAAGGTTTTATTACACAACTGAGATGATCATTTGGTATTACAATATCGTTATATATATATATATGTATATGTACAATACCAACTGCAAAACTTGAAAAGATTCTGGATAGTTTTCAGAGTTCACAAATTTAACAAAAAACAGTCCTGCTAGCTGTAAAGGTCTATAGTCACAGTTCTACAGTGATATGTTCATGAACCTGCTTGTTTTATAGTTCTGTCTATATTCACAGTCACGCCAGTTCCACAGGGCCATGTCACAGTCCCTCTTGTTCCACAGCGCTATGTCGACACTTTCTCTAGTTCTACACAGCTATGTCAACGGTCCCTCTAGTTCTACAGCTGTAGCTATATTCACAGTTCCTTCAGTTCTACACAGCTATGTCAACGGTCCCTCTAGCTCTACAGCTCTCTAGCTATATTCATAGTTCCTTCAGTTCTACACAGCTATGTCAACGGTCCCTCTAGCTCTACAGCTCTCTAGCTATATTCATAGTTCCTTCAGTTCTACACAGCTATGTCAACGGTCCCTCTAGCTATATTCATAGTTCCTTCAGTTCTACACAGCTATGTCAACGGTCCCTCTAGCTATATTCACAGTTCCTTCAGTTCTACACAGCTATGTCAACGGTCCCTCTAGTTCTACAGCTCTAGCTATATTCACAGTTCCTTCAGTTCTACAAAACTATGTCTACAGTCCCTATAGTTCTACAGAACTATGTCTACAGTCTCACCAGTTCTACAAAACTATGTCCATAGTCCTTCTAGTTCTACATACAGTTATGCCTGCAGTCCTAGTTCTACAGAGCTATGTCCACAGTCCTTTTAGTTCTACATGGCTATGTTCAAGGTCCCTCTAGTTGTACAGAACTATGTTCAAGGTCCCTCCAGTTCTACAGAACTATGTCGACAGTCCCTCCACGTATCACGTACCAAATTAACAATTACTAGTAAATACAGTAAGTATACGAAAGCAAAGTTACATTCGTAATCTCGAGTTTCATTTAATCAGAATTTAAACTGTCAAATTATCGAATAGGAAATGTGAAAGTTTAAAATAGAGTTTACGTTTATAATTCCTGACAATTCACTCCTTACTCCGGTATGGCGACCACTCGTGGATAACTGAGGTTCGATAAAACACATTCAACGTTTCGAAAGGTTGAATGTGATAATACCAGATTCGTATGACGAAACGTAGGAGTATATTTTACACGACTATGCCGGTTTCACCAGGAAAAACGTTGAGTATGTTTCAGTCTTTTTTTGTCTCTGTTTTATCCTAAATAAAAAAAAATATTTTTAAGCCTAACGAATAATTTTTAGAACCTATGAGAAATAACAGGAATTATCTCTTTTTGGGGAAAGAAACGGTTTATTTCGAGACTGAAAACAACTTAAATCGAGCTTTTATTAAATTCGCAGAACGTCGGACGACAGGTTACAACATACTGTGAAACGTACAAGTTCGTATATATTCTTAACTTAAAAGTGAAGTCTGAAAATAACAATAGCACGTCTAGACTTTTATAATTTTCTGCAGTGAACATTACTTTTGATGGACGGAACTGAAGAGAACATAAAAGAATGGTTTGCACAGAATTCCCTTATCACATGCTTAAATCAGTCATATTACTCAGTGTGACTTGATTCTTTTCCCACACATAAACTCGCTCGTTTAGTTAGTATCCCTGACATTGACGTTAAAATAACACACTGACATCTCATATCACCACGAAACTGTCAAGAAAACGTTTCGTCTCTCTTCGTGCACACATCGTTCGTTGCGGATTAGATGGAAACAAACACAAGTAGGGCGTTTTGAAAGTGCTGTGACGTCACTATCTGGTATAAAACTACTGTAATACACAGGTAAACGTTCCGGCTGGTGTGTTTTTACAGGCCATAATAAATACCATTGTATTGACCCACCAGGGAGCGTGTATCCAGGTTTGAAGGTTCGTTTAAGGAATGGTTGGTTGTCCAAAACTTCCGATTCCTCATAAGCCCGGTGGTACGACTAGTTTTTGAGCGGCATTTTACACGAAGAACGACCAACACCTGAGGGTGTAGGCTTAAGGACGAAGCGAGTCACAGTAGCTGCAGTCGGGAGCTCGGACTACTGCTGTGCACGTGCGACCACGCCGTGCCCTCGGCATCGGTATGCAGGTGAGTTCAAACTGATTTTTCGGGGTGAAGAGGAATGACGGAGGAGTAATTAATCGTTTCTTTTCTAGTGAAAAGATTTGTACATAATAAATTACTTGCTTGTTTCAAAATATTGTTAAATACTTAAGTGCTCTTAAAATGAAAACATACATCGAACACAGAACGTTCATCACATTCACCTCTCCTTGGCACGAGCTTCACATTGCAACCAGCGCTGGTTTTTAACCACGAACTTGGCTGTTGTTCCCAGGTGAGGGACTATCACACTATTAACTATCCCTACCTGTGGGTGTTGGCTATAAGGTAAAGTGCTATGTCCCTGTGTCCCCCGTACGCCGCTATGTGTAGAGCACTCCAGCCGTCTCTATTCGCCAGCCTGGCGTCAGCACCGAATTTCACCAAAAGCTTCACCAGCTCTAGATTACCGTTCATACAGCTCTGGTGGAGAGCCGTTTGGCCAGTTTGGTCGTAAAAGTTCACGTTCACCGATCCTTCCCAGCGCTGCAAGATGCTCTGGAGTTCTCCGGTGTCTCCGTTCCGCACGGCCTTCAGGAATATCTCTTGGTAGGACGGGTTGGTTTCGAGACTCTCTCGTCTGTTGTCCGCTTCGCTCGGAACAGTGGACGTGTTATCAGTTTCAGTGTTAGATCTGACAGTCATCTCGAGTCTGGTATGAAGTAACGTAGAGTTCGACTCTCAGTTCTGTCGTCTACAACCAGACTGCCACATCTACTGCCACTTGCTTTGCCGTCGGGGATTTTCAAGTAGAAAGGTCTTGTTCCCGCGTGAAAACCCTTAGCCAATGATATCAAGTCCCTTTCAGATTCTCACGCTTGCTCCGCCTCATTTTGTTTGATTGACATCCGGCTAGCTAAACTTCAGTAGCGTGGGAAGTAGGGAAGACTAACGTTACTCAGCGTCCTCTGGTGTGGAGAAAAGTATTGGCCGGTTGTGTTAAGAAATTCTGGCAACTTTTGGCGAAACATATTCGTTGCATAGTTGACATCGACTTGTAAACTGACGTTAGTTTGAGATAAATATCTCACAATAAAACGTTTATCGTTATATAACACTGTAGCGTCTAAAAACCATTTATAGACCTTGCCATCAAATGAGAATTTTCCTTCTCAGCTCGTATCTGACAAAGTAGTATATACTTTCACCACCAGGGGGATGCTAGGTTCGACCTTGAGCTCGTACGTTCTCATGACCTCCGCGTTACTTAGAGGTGCTTCTTTAATCTAGTTGGCTGCTACTGGGACCGGTCAAGGCTTCCTCAAGAATGCCTTCAAGCTCGGCACGTGACCATGACAACAGCAGTGGAAAGGCAGTTTTTTTTTATTATTTTGGCCAGTAGCAGAATTGTGTTGAGTAGGAAAAATCTTCCTGGATTCTTTGTTTTCGGAGAAAACAAGTAGCCGTTGGTCAATAACAATCTGCTAACGGAACAAATACGTGGAGCTTAAAAGTTGGTTCAGGAAAAAAAATAATGTCTTTAAAAAGAAAGTTATTTAGATAAAGTACAAAATAATATTTGAAACGATGGAGTTAAGATATTCTTAAACATACAGGAACATTGTAGAGTGTTTAACTAAAAGTTGTTCACACCTAAACAAGTGGTATAGTTAGAGTGAATGTATTATTCAACACCATATTAAAACTTGTTCACACCTAAACAAGTGGTATAGTTAGAGTGAATGTATTGTTCAATATCATATTAAAACTTGTTCACACCATAAACAATTGGTATAATTAGAGTGAATGTATTATTCAACACCATATTAAAACTTGTTCACACCTAAACAAGTGGTATAGTTAGAGTGAATATATTGTTCAATATCATACTAACACTTGTTCACACCTAAACAAGTGGTATAGTTAGAGTGAATGTATTGTTCAATACCATATTAAAACTTGTTCACACCTAAACAAGTGGTATAGTTAGAGTGAATATATTGTTCAATATCATACTAAAACTTGTTCACACCTAAACAAGTGGTATAGTTAGAGTGAATGTATTGTTCAATATCATATTAAAACTTGTTCACACCTAAACAAGTGGTATAGTTAGAGTGAATATATTGTTCAATATCATACTAAAACTTGTTCACACCTAAACAAGTGGTATAGTTAGAGTGAATGTATTGTTCAATACCATATTAAAATTTGTTCACACCTAAACAAGTGATATAGTTAGAGTGAATGTATTATTCAACACCATATTAAAACTTGTTCACACCTAAACAAGTGGTATAGTTAGAGTGAATATATTGTTCAATATCATACTAAAACTTGTTCACACCTAAACAAGTGGTATAGTTAGAGTGAATATATTGTTCAATA